AAACTAGAAGGAAGTGACATTGAAGATACTACATGTATGTGATTCTGATTTTCGACAAGCTTAAGGTTGAAAATATTTCATTTAAAAGATGTGCTTTTTAAAAAATAAAATTGTATTGTGGTTAGTATTTCTTTGTGTAAAATGAATATAACAACTTTTGAATATTTCTCTTACACTCGCTACGATATCACCTAAGTCAACGGGTGATTAACATTTTTTTTGGCATTAATTAGATGTACATGTATCTGAAACACAAATTTCTTGATAAATTTCAGATACATGACATTTATCTCTTTTCTTTTAAAATGTTAAAAGGCTTCATTTTGCTATGCAGTACTGACAAATCTCTGGTATTAGATGACAAAAGTCCAAGGAAATATTTCTTTTTTTTAATCTCTTCATGTTGGATGGATATAGTAAAGTGACTGTGATCCGAATTAAATGCATCAAAGATGACATCTTAAATGCATGAAAACAAAAACAGCATACTTTGGATGGAATAATTCCAAAGATCCAATCCAATTAAATAAAAAATTTACAACAAGACAACTTTGTCTTGTAAATTTTGTATTAACTGCGACCCGGTAAATTCAAAATTTACATGACAAGTTGACGAGAGAGAGAGAGAGTTCTACTTTAAATTAGAAAAAGAATCAAAACGCTTACCACATTTTCTTTCTGAATTTCTGAATTATTTTACCTTAATCTACAATACAGGTGGTATATTTTGATCAATTAGATGAAACAGTAATTCCTATATCTAGTACTCATTCCAACATTCCGCCGAAACATGACTGAAATATTGCCGACTCGGCGTTAAACAATAAACAATCAATCATACCAAGATATAAAAGAAAAAAAAAATTATTTCATTGATTTTCTACAAGTTTAAAAAATTACGAACGTAGATTGATATCTGATGCCTATTTAGGTGATAATCTTTTTAAATGCACATGTCAACCTGAACCATATTCAAAGTATTTTACAGTAATTATTTTTCAGAAAGAATTTTAATAGAAGCAATATGAAAGATTTTAAAGCAAAATGTATATCCCTAACATTTTAAGAAGTAAAATAAGCATAGTTTAAAAAAAAAAACAACATATTTTTCAAAAGAAATTTGAAATAGGACCTTTCTTTACATTTCCAATAAAATACATTGTACATCTAAAACTGCATGTGGTATAGTCTAGAGAACAACCGAATTTCATCAGAAATACACGTACACAATTCATATAGGGAGGGTTTGAACATGCACACAATTATCAAAAGAATATCGTTGAAATTAAAACCAAGTGTATTTTTTCCTGAATGAGAGAACAGTACTTTTGTAACGAATTATTTTCTGTTTTGAACCTGTAGATTTCTTCTTTTTTTTTACACCAAGTTTTTTTTTTTGTTCACCTAAATGAATGAACAATACTTATATAATGAATATTTTCTATTTTGTAGGTTTCTTTATTTATTTACTTATTTATTTATTCATTGTTTCCAGTTTACGGGGTCTTGTATGTAAAAGGTGAAAATAACAAATAAGAAAATCTCATAAAATCCAGTAAACAAAATGAATCGTGAATAGGGCAAATACACGAATCCGTGGGCATACCAGAGACGGTATCAAGTGCCTAATAGAAGTAAGCATGCCCTGTCGACTGATCACACCCGTCGTGAGCCTCATGTATCGATCTGGTGGAGTACTCCGTAGTAGTAAATTAATGTATAAAAAGAATGGCCTAATGAATGGTATAAAACATGACAGACAAAATACGACCCAACGATAGGTTGTATTTACAAACAAGGTCATTATACATGTAGCGACCGTAGAATTTGCGAAAAGGTGAATTTAAACGGGGTTCTTGAAATCCTTGTAACATCAATTTACTTGTCAGTAGCTTGTCTCGGTTTAAATGCAGAGCATGCATTTGCGTATTGAATCAGATGGGAGACATAGACACCACATACAGATGATGTTGGAATATTTCTACATAAATAAGGGAAGTTAACGAAGCTGAAATCATCCCGTTTGTCGTACGGTTTAGTTATTAGTTGGCCATTATCGTCTTAATCAGCTAAGCATCCAAATATGAAACAGATGTGGCAGATTCTGTAGTCTCTTTTATTTCGAGTTTACTGGGATATATCGAGTCGACATATGAATGAATGTAACTATTGTTAATAATAAAACGTCGTGAATATATCAAAATGTTGAGTTGAAAGCCACTGCGAGAGTTTTCTTCTGTAGAAGAATATTTTGAATAAATTTTGCTTCAAAGGTATATAATAACGGGTCGGCTAATAAATCTGGATATTTGCAACCATCTTCCTTTGACTCGTCTGAATAAAACTTGTGAAATATGAAAATAGAAGACGTGATGGGACATGTTTAATCTCGGAAGATGAATTAATGAATTTTGACCTAGGAGAGAGTTTTCGAAAATAATTAAGAAATTAAAAAAACAATCAGAAACAACAACCAGTAAAAAAATCTCTCAGTACACAACATATCTCTCCATTCCTCCCTCTATAGGGCAAAACCTTTCACTAAATACGGACATTTCTTTTTTATATGATTCGTTCCAAAATGCTTGCTTGAATAATCTTCTTTCGGTATTTGGGTCGGAAAGAATAGAAAGCAAAGCATCTTTTGTGTAAATTAGTTAAGAGTGGTGTCAAAGTATTGATTTTTAAATTGCTTTCAAATTTTGAGGAATTTTTTTCTAACTTAAGATGTTTTCTTAAGCTTACGAGATAATCAACCATATTTTGGATTTTTGAAGATTTATCTTCACTGCACAAAAAAAAAAAGGGAAAAACGGGGATATCGGAACTATGTATATTGTTATTTCATATTATGCTATTTACTAGCCACAGAAAAAAATACGTATATGAATGAAAAGAAATCGTAACAAGATTACTATATATTAAAATTACCTTAAAATTACAAGAATTTCATCTGAAATTCTTGGATCACACGTAGTTACAATGAATAAAAAGTAGGAATGAACAATAATAATCTACATTTATAAAGCAAAAGTAAGAAGATCCGTGATTTTTACCATAAATGTGTGCTAATGTTCATGATTTACATATTGGAATGTGATTTTTTCTTTCATATAAGTATACTTATATTATCTTACCTAATCTTTTTTTTACACATCCATCATAAAGGTACATTTCTAAGAAAATGTTTTCTGACTAGATTTTTAAAGTTCGTTGAAATGATTTAGCGTTGGTATTCTTATTGAGAAATTACTTGTAACTGCGTTTTCGAAATGTAAGAAAATACCAGTCAAAATGCAGGTTGGGGGCGGGGATTATTATTTTGTCTTAGAATTGTATTTCTTTCAAATATTAGTACTATTTTGAAATTATACTTTGATAAAAAAAATAAAAGATGTGATATGATACAATTTTATATCAGTGGAAATAATAAGGAGTTAGTATTCATTCATAATGTATCCTTTAAATACAAAATAAGAGTATTTATTCTCAGGTTTTCCTCTAAAAATAAAATGCAGTTTGTTTAATGTCATAAAATTGATGAAAGTATTATGTAAAACATGTTGAAAATGAATACAAATAATTATTTTCAAAAATAAATCGAGGTAAATATGATATGAATGTCGTTATATTTTTAGTATTTCATGTTAACTTTATAGATACCTAGATGAAATCCGATTGAATTCTTGCAAATTATTTACAGAATTTGAAAAACATGCAAATTATGCAATGCATTTACATTCATTGACATACGCCAACAAAATATCAGTCAAAATAAAATATACATGTTGCTTAAAGTCATAATTTTTTCCCTAATTTGAAAAAAAAAAAATCTATATATTCCTGATTTAATTCTGAAATATCTCTTCATTAGATAATTGTACATGTATCTTGAAAAATAACCTAAGTGGCATTATTATTTCCACATTTATATAATATTTATCCTGTATTTACCATTTCCCTTTCTTTTTGTCCTTCTTTTTTTTTTGGCCTTACCTATGTATAGTATTTCTTCAAAAACATTCACTTTCTTTGACTTTCTACATTGATCTTGGAAGAGTGCTTACTTGTAAATAGGCTTAGCTGGTATCCCCCTTCCGTATTTGTTCTATTATATATATTGCAAAATATATGCTTTAAAACAGTTCTTTTAATTTATTGCAAATTTATATCAATTTTCAAAATAAAATTAAAGTTAAATCAATGTGTTTAAAAAGTTTTATCAAGCGGAATTAATGATAATTGTTGAACAATTTTGAATGAAATTTTCTTACAATCATTTTAATTGTCATGATATGAATGTGAATATTTTTTAATGCACTTTATACATTTTAATATTGATTTATTACAATAACATAGATGTATATTTGAAAATTGAGTGCTAAAGGAAAGTCATGAATGAACGGTGTTTGTTGCAATGATTTAACTGTAATCTTATCTGCACTTTTTAAAATTACAGTTGTATTTCTCGCAATGAAAAAAAAAATCATACCATAGGCGGAATCCCCCCCCCCCCCGGAATTTTTAGAGTTATTAAATTTCTATGTAAACGTAACAAAAAATGAACTTGGACTCTTAAAACGGTATAAAGAGAGTATGTATCGGAGGAAAATTTACTTAGAAATGTGTCTTCTCCAAATAAGATTTTTCAGGTTTGGGCATATTTTTTTTCAATAATTTTCCGAGTCTGTCAAATTTGATCAATTGATGTAGACCCCCCCCCCCTTTTTTGGAAAAAAAATTCCTGAATCCGTCCGCGGGCCTGCGTACCATAATTACAAGATCAGCTCTAAAATTCACTTACCACTCTTTCTCTTTCTTTCTCTGCGTACTAGTGGACTCCATTAGTTAGTATGATTTATAGAATTCAAACCTTATAAATGCATATGAAGATTCGTTCACTGGGTCATTTATTTAACATTACATAATGCATATGCTGTTTCAACCATGCTTCTCTTTTTGCAGTAGAAGAAAATTGTCTTTAAAATTTTGTTATGCAGACATGGAGAAAGATTGTACTTGTGTTCAAGAGAGCCACAAAGGTCGTGACTATAAATAGCCATTTCAACACTTAATCGAGAATAAAAAAGAAAGTCAACCTTCTAAAGCTTACCTGTTCTGGTGCTTGGTTTGTAGTTTGGTGGTTTTTTGGTAAGATTAAAAAATCACGGCGTCCATTTTGATCTATGTATTCGATTTCCTGTTTTCAAAAAGTACCGAAAATGCAGGTTTCGTATGAAACTAGCGGGAATTCCTACTCAAAATAGGACATGTTTATTTTTTCCATAATTTACTTCCTATATATTTTGTTTGACAAAAAGTCACAAGCTTCAGTAATTTTTTAGATTTTAGTGTATGAAATGAAATGATATAATATATGATATGATATGTGACTATGAAAGTTTACTGCATGATACTGTTTTCCATTAAAATTAAACAGCGTCAGAACGAATGAATGCCATTATACTTAAAATTCTCTGAAAAATTATCATCCAAAAATATAATACAAAAAGTACTCATATTTAACTAGGTCATTATTGAAAATTGATTGAATAATGATATATATTTTAAAAAGCAAATATTCTTATCAAAGCTTAAAAGATTTTCATTGTTTATTTTTAAAAAAAAATTATATATTAGAAAATACTACAAAACTTTTTAAAGCAGTGTCTAAAAAACTGTCATCAATTTTATAATTATTGTTTGTATTATTTTATCACTTACAGTAGTTAAGAGCATGTTTTAAAAGGAGATAAGTATAATTTTTTGGCGTTTTGGAATAGAGTTCACATTATCCGGAAATACCCTGTTTGGTTTTTGCTATTACTGTCCTAATTCTGGATCCAGTTTTGTGACGCGATATTGTATCTTTGTATTCTTCATGAAATTTATTGTTATAAATAAGTACTTACAGGTGCATATGGTTTCTCACATATTTATTTTTTCCAAGGATAGAAAGGCTGCATCACAAATCAGGTATTTTTTTTTTTATAGTTTTTTTTTATTGTGTGAAAAGTTACAAGTGATTATGCAGACACCACACATCCTGCTACAAATTGAAAATTAATAATAAACTAAGATTTCTTTTTTTAAATTTTTTTTTTCATTTATCAAAAACACTTTTATATTTTAGCAATGAAGTCACTTCTGGATATAACATCAGCTTTTGTGGGAGAAAACTCAAATTTCTTTACACCAGATATGTTGCAAGGTAAAAATATAGATATTGCTATGTGCTTCCACAGTTTGCTCAAAGCAATGTTCGTAGAGTGACATGACTTGCTTTGCACCTTCATTTTTACATTCTGGATTACATCTATATAAATGAAATTTTTTTTTTTTGTAAGACTGAGACACAGTGATGCAAAAATGGGAAATTCGTTAGAATAATCTGTGTCTCGGGACAAGCCCTCACCTGGCACAGTTAGAATATGTCCCATATACTTGCAGTGTTGCAAATTGGAGTGGATCCAATCCGAAATGATTTTGAAGAATACAAAAGGAGTTGCACTGAAAATAACTACCAAATTAATCATAACAAACCTTTTTGAAATGGTATATGTCTTAACCTAAAAAATAATTCATATAAATAGGAAATTTCAACTCTTTTTCTCAACGTTTTTTCCTCACTTCAAATTTAACGCCATGTTGACATTCGGAACTCTCTGGATTGTTCATAGAAAATGCACAGAGTACGAGTTATCTCCCGTGTTTGTTTTGCAACATTGCCAATACATGGAACGAATTCTATCGTTAAACCGGGTCCGTAGGACAATATCATTTTAACGATAGAACATTCTATCTAATGGGAAATTGAGAGAAAAAATAGAATTTTTGCCTGACGCATGCAAATTTTGTTCAGTTCTTGGAGGTATGAGGTTTCTTAAATTGGATTTTTTTTTTAAAATAAGAAATGTTCATTTCAGTTTAGTAAAAATGAATATTTTTTTGCCCAACACATAACCATTACTTTGCTCATCCCTACCGATTGTATGTGTGGACAGAAAATACAAACAGGTCACATTGGCGCAAGAATTGGAATGTCGTCAGACCATGGATTTTGACAGAATCTGTGAAAAAGATATTCAGAACACGTTTTATCTTTGTATATTTCGATTTGAGATTTATGCTGGCACTTACATTTTGCACTCTCTGCTTGCTTTACAGTGCAGTTGAGTTTGTCGAAACTTCTCAATACTCATAATTTTTTTCATAAACTCTTTTATTTATGATAGAAATGTCATAAACAAAATATAAGATAATATTTATTGAGACCAATTCGGGGTCCTTGAGGGCATACAAGTAAATAGTACATGTAACACACAAAAGAAGAAAGTCAAAACTGATAGCAGCAACATGTTGACATAAAAAAGGAAATTAAATACAGAAGATTGTAGCGGATGGGGATTGTCAAAAATAAATGCTAATAAGACAAATGTAACTAATATACATACAAAAAAGAATTTTTAACATGTATATTTGTATTAGAGTATTAACATTTATAACTCTTATACATTCACTTGATTCTTTTTAAGATGTACATGATGCAGTATTTCTTATTTTAAAAATATTGATTAAAAAAATTGCATAGCTTGTTTTATTTGTTTGTTTAAATTATAAATGTTTTTAATTGTTTTAGCAATATCTTGAAAAAAAATCATGTCTATCATTTTAGCTCACCTGAGCCAAATACTTTCTTCTTTTCTGAAACTACATGTAGTCTCCGTCCATGTTTTGGGTTAAGCAAACATGTGATAACAAATTTAGAATAACAAGAATTAACAATTAAGCCATAAGAACTAAGTCAAAACACCTAAGAAGTAAGTCAGTGTCCCTCCAGGGCTTCCATACTTTTCAATTCTCTTGGACATTGTTTTTAAAACATTATATTTAACTTTTTTTTTTTTCAGAACTGCCAAGAAATGTGTTAGTAAATATACTGCCTTATTTGAATGCTGCATTTCTGCACAAAATATGCATAAAAATTTCAGGTAAAGACATAATTTCATCCAAATTATCTAACATAAATGAATTGATCAGAAATTCAGACTTCCATATTAAATGAAGTAAGAAACATACTTGTTTAAGTCATATCTTAAACCGATCTGAAGGAAGTTCATATAGTATATCAAATGATACAGTGGATTCCATTTCATCCATTAGCGGTTTAACTGATATTTCCACTATTTCAATATAATATTAGAGCACAAAACCATTTCTTATATATTTATTAATAATTTCTGCTTTTGTCAATGTATTCAGTTCAACATCAGAAATATTAAAATTTCCTAACTTGACAGTATATAATGGTCTTGTAAAAACTTCATCACTGTACATACATTGTACCCTGATTATTTTTGGAAAGTAATATTAGAAGCATTTTCAGCAGAAAAAACATGAAATATACTTTCAAATGTAAAAGAAATGTAATGAATATGGTGAAATCAGCCTATATGGACACATCAGTTGATGGGAACAAACGCTTATCTATGGTTGTTTCATTAAAATTTATTTGGAATAATTAAAGGACTTTTTAAGAGAACAAATATCGGCTACATTTAAATCATGCATTTTAATTTTCTATTTCTTCATAAGACCTTCAGTGTTCAGAGCTGTGGAAGAAACATGTTCAGAAAAGATGGAATTTTTGGAATCGGATTGGTAGCACCTTCTCAACTGTCTTTAGTGATAGTGAAAGGATGGAAGATTTCCATAAAGTCTATCTGATCAAACATTTCCTGGATTTACTGAACTACTGCTGTCTCAATGTCCATGTACCAGGTAAGATTTCACTTACCTATACATTAATTGTTTATTGTTTCTATGTAAATATTGCTTAATATTTAATATCCACAAAGTTTAGACTTAAAAATTGATAAACCAGGCAGTCAGCTTTGCATAATCCACTGCAATATCAGTTTTATCAATCCTTGTTGACAGTCATTGGATTGTAAAACATTGGACCAACTTTTTTTCATAGTCATCATATTCACAATTGAAAGTATATTTTTTCTGTTCTTTAGATTCTTGATGACTAGACATTTTTTGCTAGGATTTTACATGTTTGTGGATTGTTGCTTGTTTGTAATAAAGCCAGGAAATGCAAGGATAAGAATGTGAGGGAGGAAAAGTGTAAGGGTGACAATCTGATGAGGGTGATGTTGGTCCTATTCCTTTGTTTGTCTTCACATTCTTGCCCTTGCTGTGTCCTAGCTTCCATGTACTCTAATTGCCTAGTCCTATAGTCTTCACTTTCTTTATGCCTTTATTAAAAGGGGAGTGAGGGAGTTGGCATATCAGTACACCATAAATTTAAGTTCTGAAGATTTAAAGGACTTATTGCATGATTTTTCAAAAATCTTAATTTTATGAAAAATATTATCTACAACCTTGTTTATTAAAATTCTGAATACAATAAACGTTGTTGAAAGCATATTTTAAGAGATATTGAGAGTTGAAATTCAAATACGGCAATATGCATATTTCAGTCGGATTTCGGCGAAATACTGCTCTGACGTCATAGGCGACAATTCAGTGATAGAGAGATGAGAAGTTGCATACTATTTACGAAGTTATCAACGACAAATGCAGGTTAATTATGAAAAATGCTGAAAAAATTAATTCCTAACGTGATTTTCAATTACTATAGAAACATTAACTAGTTCTAAGGTATAAGAATTTTGAGATATTTTCGTTTTTTTTATTCCAAACATTTAAAATATGTAGGTCTGATTACGGCAATGTTTCGTGATCGGAAAATTATTTTTCAACACCGCCATCCTTTACAAAACATATGAAAGTATACTTGCATAAATTAAAATTATGTTAAAAAAGGAAGAATAACAGAGTTATGTAATATTAAATTTGTGAATCAAATAAGTTAATACATGTGATAAAATGACAAATCAAATTGTATTGTGATGGCGAGTTTCTTCGTATTCGCCGCGTCTCCCTCGCTATCGTCGCTGTTATTTTTACAATGTTAACGTATTTTTTAGATTATTTCTCGCTGACATTTCTAAAATATAAGGTTGGACATTAAATTTCATATCGATAAAATCAGTGATTTGGTCGTCCATAACGCAGAAAATTCAGGTTGTATCGCGTACATTTTAGTAAGATTTACGCGAAGAGCTGATCAGCCATTGTCGCCTTTGACGTCACAGGGTCACGTGATCGCTATCTAATTAACTTAGATTTTTAATTCAGCGGTTTTCATTTGAGTCAATAATTGGTTAATTACCGCGGTTTATCCGCAGAAAAAACACAAAATTTATAAACTGTGGTGATAAGGAACGTTTTACGCTTCTAATTTCAAATAATTTAGAAACATGCGATAAGTCCTTTAAGTTAATGATAATTGTAGATCTTGCCAGAATGACTTCTTACCAACCTCTTATGATTTTTGTAACAATTAACACTTTCATTGGTGTGTTTCTGCATTGAAATATGGTTTCAATTTGATAACTTGCTAATTCTTGTTAATGTGACGAATATCATAAAATATGTGTTAAAGATGATATCTTGAAGAGGCATACAATCCATGTTATATATTATTCCAAATATACTCTACCTTTTAAAACATTTATTCATTATGTCCAGATCTGAAAATTATTTTGTTTTTCTTCATGTAATTCTGAATTGGATGTTGATTAATTGTAAGTAATTTTTAAAGTTTTATCAATCAATTTTACATCTGAGTATTTATAATATCACTTTAAAAAACTCTTGGCTTGCAGATCCTATTGGATTACTGAATTGTCCTCTGCACAAAATGAAACCATGGAATATTGTAACAAATACATCACTTCAGTCCGCAAAGTACATCAATGAACTCATACATTATGCTCAATACGCAGAATCTGTGAGCCTGGTAGGCTCTCAGTGTAGTTGGATTTGTTGTCAGAGAGAATTGCTTGATCGTCTGCTAGATGCTACAAAAACAGTCAATCTTCATGTTGTTAATGATACATACTACGATGGTGTGAGAACACTGCTATGGAATCTTATTAACAAAGGAAAACTAGAAGAAGCTAACTTTTCTTCAATTACTCCAACATTATCCCAAACAAATCTACATGATTTACTAAAGATTTGTGCAGGTGTTACTGTAAATAGAATTGTGAAGAATGATACCCCTCCTCCAAAAAGGCCAAAAAAGCGTCCACGAGAGTCCCTTGAGGAAACGTCCAGTAGCTTCACAACATCGGTTATTTTGGATTCAGGGTATGATTTACCTGTGAGTAAAAAAGTGTGTGTGAGATTAGATGACTCCTTGGATGAATCTATTGTGAGTATAACCACAACTAAGGAAGTACCTAGAATTGTTGATGTCATTGACTTTACTGGAGGTCAGCAAGAGGAATCTCAGCCTTCAACCTCTACGGGAAACTCAGCAAATATGACTGCAGCAGTGTCAGAAGACTTCTCTTATGAAGAGGAAGACTTTGTTGACCATGAGATAGATGCACATCTGGAAATGGAAGACATATCTGCATTCAGTGTCTGCGGCAGCTATATGGCTGACAGATCTATTAGCAATGATAGTGATCTGTATGATGTAGCTGTTCAACCTATCATGAGAATGAATCCCAGGCAGCGTTTTCCACAGCCTCCAGTACCATTAGTGGACGTCTTTGTCAGTCAAGTAGATTCTGAACATCCTGTGAAAGGGCTCTCTTCTTTTTCAGTAACGTGTGCCAATCTGACAGGGCTTCTTCGAGTTCTGCCTAATTGGAATGATCTAAGAAAAATTAGCCTATCACATGCTAGTAAGTGGTACATATATGTGTATAATACTAGAAAAACATTAATTTTCTGTCTTTTTTCTGTACAGTTAAATGAAATTCCTTTTTGAGAGGTAAATAATAGAATTCTTATCTCTATGGTTTTCAGCTATTGATGGTGAGTTTATCATGAATGCTCTGCTAGACAAAATTCGTAATCATCAGATTTCGCATCTGATGTTGGATGACTGTTATTTATCAGACCAGTTCTACCCACGACTTCTTAGTGTTCTACAAAACCATTTCAAGTATGTTTACTAAATTTTCTCTGAGCAAAGATTGTTCTGATGTAATTTGAGGCTTATATGAGAAGACAGATTAGTGTTAAGGGGAGAGAGAGAAGAAAAAATAAATCTTACATAATTTAACATTTCACCAATCTTCATTAATTGATCTGATGAAATGTATCTCAAAGTTTTTAATTTTATGTCTATGGTTTCTTGATATAGAACAAATGGACAAGCATTGGAACTTGTTGATATCCAGGCATCATCTTCTCCCCTGTCTGTGCTCTCTACAGAAAAATACAAAGGTAACATTGCATTGATATCTGTTCCAAATAAAAAAAAAAAGAGTGACTTGTATATCCGTGTACAAAATTTGTCTAATCCTGGATGTTGTATATTGAGAAATCTGGCCTATTACAATGAAAAATTTTAGCTCCTTTAAAGAGATTCAATTGTTTAAAGTGTTGTCTAATCTGGAAAGTTGTCAAATTCTGACAAATTTCGGGGAAAACAGTGATGTCCAGATTAGACAAGTTTTACTTTATATGCTTTAGATAATGTAAATGCATCATTGGATTAGAATGAATACTATTTTGTACCTTATAATTTCAATGAAGTACATGTATATAGATACTGATCCATTAAATTTTAATTAAGTAATAATCATACACAATACCTTCAGAAACCCAATATGGAGTGAAGAAGTTGAATCTCAGTATGAATACTTTCCATTCTACTGGATTAGAGGCTCTAACAACACTTATCAAATATGACAGGGCATTAACTCATCTGAAGCTGAATGGCTGCTTTCTCCAAGAAAGTCAAGTTTGTCAGCTTCTGCAGGCTTTGTCAGGTCAGTTCAAGAACTTGGTCATCATCAATATGTAGCATAATACAGTAAAACGTGGTTACAGCTAAGATGCTTATAATAATTCAGGCTTATAGCAAAGTGATTTTCATTCCTTGTAGTTCTTAAACATATCATAAACACATCTGATTTAACAAATTATGTTTAAGATGAATCAAAATTAGTTGTCCCAGTTACTTTATATAAGCATGTTTTACTGTAATGAAAATGTACAAGAAAAATTAAAACATTATGGTTGACTAAAATTTAAAAAGAAAATCAGAATACATAATGGTATAAATTGGGTTTGTATTGGAGTTTGTTTTAGTAAACATGCACCTCTTCACAGAGAGACCACAGCTCCAGATGCTTGGACTTAGTGGAAATTTAGTGGCAGATTCTGATGTGGAGTCAGAGCTTCTTAATTTCTTGTTGAAAGTCAAAACACTCAAAACCCTCACCATGAATTACAGCAGACTTAGACCACAGTTTGGTAAGAAATTACATATCAACTTAGTTTTATTAAAAATAAAGAAAAATTTAAGATTTTAAAATTTTAGAAATGTCAAAAACTTTATTTTGAAAGCTGTAACAATTTATTCAACCAAATTTAAAATGTGAAAAAATATATATTAATGTTCACATTAATGTCAGCAATGTGTGGATAAAGATATATTTTTCATTTTGATTATAAAGTTAGTGACCAAGCTTTTGTGTCAGCTGTGAAGAATCATCCAAAGCTGAAGGAACTGTCAATGAAGAATAATCATTTAGGTAAGAAAATAGCAAAAAAAAATGTTCCTGGTAATGTGTTTTGAAAAGCTGTAGTGAGAACAAGAAAGCCAACAAAATGGAAAATTATCTTATTAAATGTTTTTACTTCAAATTGACTCACATTCCTATTGTTTGATTAGTAGTGTTACAAAACTTTCATGAACAGTGTTTCTAATCAATATTTGTGAATAAACTTTATTTTTAAAGTGTGACTGTGTAGTACAGTTTTCTCTATGAATTAAATAAAAGGAGCAGAGGATACTTTACCAGCAGTCTAACACTAAAAACGTGATACCGGTAATACAACAGTACTGTAATTATGACTTTATGGAAATATTTTAAGCATGGTGAAATGCAAGGGCTTCCCAATAAGTCAGATACTCTGCTAATCTCCTCCAATTTTGACCAAAAAAAAAAATGTTTAATTTCAGAGTATGTGCAGCAAATTACATTCAAATGTGGAAACAGGGTCAAATTCAAAAATTGAATGTACATGTATTCCCTGAGAAGTAAAACCTAACGCATATTTATTGTAATTTTTTAAATATGGAACTTACTAATGAGTAAAATACTTTGCCTGTACTAATAACCTGAATTCATTGCATGCAATGGAGCTTCCTTGCTGCATCTAATATATAATAAAATGGTTAAGAGATAGTTAGAATAACTTTATAGTACACTGAACCTTGTCTAATCGGATGTCGTATCTTGCCTAATAAGATTCAAACTTTAAGCCCTGAAGTGTAAGAGTCTGCCATTCTTGATAAAAGTTGTTTGATGTTTTTATATATTTCACCTTTCTGCATTTCTGAAGTGTTTATGAGAGTTGGGATCTCAATTTTCTGCAAATTTCTACACCATGCATCCACCAAAAAGGTGACATTTTCTGTAAATTTTGTATTGAACTTTAACTGTAAAATGTCCTGTTTTAAATGCTGGAGATTGATAATTTGACATGATTACCTCAAATTGCTCATTTTTTTGATTTTCTTAATTTTTAGATGTAATTTTCAAGGAGAGCTAGGAAGGTCATCAAATTCCCCCTTTTTACATACATTTGGGGTTGCACAATCAGTGTGATTTAAGGTGTATACTGATATTTAAATTCTGTAACAAAATTGTTAGATTTATATAAAAAAATATTAAAAGCATATTTGTCTCTTTTAGTTTAAAGTGATGGAAAAACAACTTTATCTAAAAACACCACTGTAATTTGAGACTTTAAATTCCACAGATTATTGGGGCATTCCTCAAATAAGGCAAAATGTTGGGAAAAAAGTCAAAAAAGTAAAAATGAAATCATATTCAAAAGTTAAACAGCTGTAGCCAATATGATAGTAAAATTAATGTAGGAATTATTCTGTTAAAGGAACAGAAAGGAAGACATTAATTTATGGTCAAACAAGTAATACTGGTATTGTGAAATCCATCTTTTAAAGACGTTACAATATCAGTTGAGCTAATTCTCGTGGTCATTTGTACTTTAAAAGTGCTTAAAAGATTATACTGATGAAAGGGTTCAATGCACATATGTAAATCATTTTGAAATATTACAAAAACAATTCTCTTTTGAAAATACCTGAAGTCTCTTTACATGTAAATATACTAGTATTTAAATTTGTTATGAGAACAAATGTACTTTTATAAGTTCATCAGGTGTGTAATTTTCATGTTTTTTTCCCATTTTCAAGCAATTTAGCAGTATTTTTAATATGTTTTAATCATATCCTCATCAAGTGTTTGAAATAATGTTGAACAAATGTCAAAATTCAGATACTTAGAATATTCAGATGAAAACATAATTATAAACTTATACAGGGGCTGTTAAAAAATTACGCGGACTTGTTACACAGAAGAAATAGTTGATGACAAAAACACATAAAATCGCACATATTATAAAACAATCTTTAATTTATTGGTCAACAAAATTTCATTTCAAAGTATTGTAAATTGATATCAATTTGGAGTGATTACTTGGAACTATCATGAAATCACGGTAAAATCTGCGACGTGACGAATACGTAAAAATCTGTAGCTCATATTTTAAGTACGGTAAATATATGTGTTTAAATTTTCAGAATATGTAGAACCAAGAACAAGTTGAACTTACCGACTCGTAGAGCTCGGGGGGGGGGGGGGGCTCCCCCACTTTTCTGAGTATAGTTTTTTGCTATAGTATATTTTCCTTTAGATGCTGGTTGCCCCCTCCCCCCTCACACACACTTTATGTATCTCTAAGGTCGAGCACTGGCAAATTCCAGATTTCAAAAGAATCTGTACAGTTAATAAGGTCTTTTCTTTTCTTATCTTTCCTTCCTTTTTTTCTTTTGCTTGTCAGATTATTATAGGACGTTGCCCCCACCCCCTTTTTTGGTCAGTTTAGTTAGTTTTTTTTTTGTTTTGCTCTTCAGATTTTTTGGGAAGTCCCCCCCCCCCAACTTTTGAAACCGTTGCTACGGGCTTGACTTAACTGAATTTTACGTTCGTCTATCCAAAATGCAAAGGGGAGGCCTAGGATACTTTATTAATGTTACTGATAAAGTAATTTTTTTTTTAAATTATAGGTGCTAGTGCATGCCACTTTTTGCAGCTATTGTGCAGTGAAGGACAACTTTCCTTGCAACATTTAAATATTGGGTATGTATATTCTAGCCAACAGGATTTATCTCTCTTTGATTTTCATGATGAGAGTAACATAGGTATGTTCCTATTTTCCCCTAAGGTATAACTGGATGAAAATTGAAGACATCATAAAAAGTGCAAAAGAAATACAGACATGCAGAGAAAGACATGGCGAATGTTATAAACCTGTATTGCAGAGTCTAATACTGAGTGGGAATAGGCTAAAACCAAGGGAATTTGAAATTGTTAGAAACCTGTTCAAGCCTTTAGTCGTGGAACTAGAAATAAATAGCATTGATTACTCAGTTCCTCATGCGGAACACGTGGGTCAGATGTGAAAAGGTAAACAGGTGCAAAATTACGGTTTACAGAATCTGGATTCCTGGAAAGGTATAAATTCTCTGTATGTTTGAAATAAACATTACTCATGTCTTTTATTGTTCTGTTATAAACATTTATGAAACACAACGCTGTTTATGGAAAAACCTGCTGGTATGGCATGCCAACTGACTTATCTATTATTAAAAAGAAAAAAAAGAAAACTTAATTTTAGTAGATGAAGATTCTTCTTCCCTATCAAAAAAGAGGAATATTGTGAATTGGTTCCAGTACGCAAAATATGACTGACATCTAGGTAGTCAGTCTTAAAATTTCCGTAGAATAACTGACATATACATGTATTTGTAAATTGAAAGCTTCTACAGGTATATAAAGTATGCATTGAAGAATTCCACTTACGATAGTGACTACATTGTGTATATGTATTCTGTGAGGAAAAAAGAAATTCGCGATTATCTTTGGATTATGTTTATAATACTTTTTCATTTCACATACACATACTTAAGAATAATAATACTTGGAATTTTCTCAGAAAATATTTTGGAAATGATATTCAAAACACATTCCTGTATAAGGTTTTTGTAATGGTAAAGGAAAATACAGTTAATTCCTATTGCCTAATACTTTATTGTATACAGAGTTGATTTTTGTATCAGATTTTTTTTTGTTGATATTAAAAAAAAACACTTTCAAGCCATTTCGAATTCATAGTTTTTTGAACGCATCATCTGTTCATTATTTAAATTGATTTCACCGTATCCTTCTTACGCAGGTAAAATTGCATGATGTATTCAACATTTGTTTAAAAAAAAACCCATAAAACACGTACAATGTATTTTCAACAGAAGTAGATTCATTACATAAAAACAAGCAACATACATGCATATGCTAAACATGTTGAAAACTTTATTTAAACCCCAAAATATTTTTTATAGCTTTAGCAAATGCAAAACGACGTATGTTCAACAATATGCAGATGGGAATATGTTTGAAATATATGTTAAGCAAACTGCTGCTAAAGTGACCTCATATTGCAGTTATACCCGTGTATACAAAATGGCAGAGTCGCCTGCGTGGCGCAATGATTACAGCGTTTGCTTTAAAAATCTGTATAGGGTGTTGATCCTTTTGTCGCGGGTTCGAATCTCACTGTGGGACGCGGAGACCGGTCTTTCGGATGAGACCGTATAAATCGAGGTCCCGCGTCGCAGTAGGTGCTGGCACGAAAAAGATCCCTCACTGTTTAATGGCACTTAGTGCCGAGTATAAATCTAAAGTGCAGCCCTCCAAGGGCAAGTGGTGGCGTCTCCTTATGAATGTAAAATTCTTGAGAGGGACGTTATAAACAACAAACAAAATGGGCAGAAATGAATACAGCAAATGTATAAGGCTATGAACATGAAGATTATAGTAAGAGGTTATGTTTTAAATTTCCCAAAAGTGATTTACAAACTCAAGTCCTGTTTAAAACAAAAAACCTTATTGATATTTACTTTTATACTAGTATATTTGTCTAATAGATATTCTATAACTATTCTACAATATATTTCCTATTTGCTGATATTTAAATACAGCTCAAAAAAGCTAATTTCTGCGAAAAGAGCAAACTATCCTCTTCCAAGTATCTAAATTTTATCCAACGCATTTTGAACAATTTAAAAATTTACATATTAAAAAAAATTAGCTGAAATTCAAATCTGTTGTAATTATCATTGCCAGTATTGTTCATTGCAAGCAACTGGCCAGGTAAAATCCAATATTCAGTATTGATTTATTATTTTGTATATTGTTAAATGTGCGTCTCTGTAACAATAAAATCATCAATCAATAAATAAACAGTATCTAAGGACAACCTTTTTGAAAATTCAAACTTCATTTATGATGTAATAAGAATTGCATTCATTAGTCTACCAAGTACTAGCAGATGTGCATTTTTAATATGGTATACCGATTGATATGATGATATATGAAAGTTTTACGGTTTTGATTTGGATTGTATCTCTTAATATTTTGTTATTTTTACCTTCGATCACGATATGTATTTTTAGCTCTTCTGAGCCAAAGGCTCAAAGAGCTAATGCTATGGCCATTTGTGCGGTGTGCGGTGTGCGTAAACTTTTAAGAATATGGGCCATAACTCAAGAACCCCTTGGCCAATTATTGTCAAATTTGTCACAGGGTATTCTTAGCCCAAGGGCTCCCTTTTATACTAAAACTAGAGTGATCCTTAAACAAGGGGAGATAATTTGGAAAATAGAAACAAAAGTACTGGTTGCTAAAAAATCTTCTTCTCAAGAACCACTGGGTAGATTATCACCAAACTTACACAAAAGGATGAGGATATGTTGTAGATTAAAATTTGCACGGGGATTTACCCTGGGGCAAAGGGCGTTGTCTCAAGGTCACTTAAAAATTGACCAAAAATTACATTTTATTAAAATGTTGATATTTTGCTTACTATAAGGACTATGATCATCAAATCTTGTCAGCTGATGCGTCTAAAGACCTCATATCATGTTGACTCAAAAGTAAGTCATGGTGACCTACTTTTTAAATTTTGCGGCCATTCTCTTTCAAAATGATTTAGAGGCATATTTTGAACAATTTAAGGCCTATGATCATCAAACTTTGTCAGTTGATGTATCTTGGGTCCTCAAAGTACGTCAACTAAAAAGTAGGTCACCTTGAGCTTCTTTTTGAACTTTATGGCTAATCTTTTTCAAAACAATTAAGGTCATTAATTCGAATACCGAGAGGTTTAGAATAATTAAATCTTGTAAGATGATGTATCTTGGGGCCATGAAACATAATTATTAAAAAGTAGGTCACAGTGACCTACTTTTTGAACTTTGTAGGCATTCGATTTCAAAGCGTTTTAGAGGAATAATTTAGACATTTTAAGGCCTATGATCATAAAACTTTGTAAGTTGATGCATCTTGGGTCCTCAAAAAAGGTTAACTGAAAAGTAGGTCACCGTGACGTACTTTTCATTTTATATGACTATAATTAAATATTTCAGGTACTAATTGGCTTAGAATCATCAAACTTTGTCAGTTGATGCATCTTGGGTCCTTGGAGTACAACAACTGAAAAGTAGGTCAGGGTGACCTACATTTGAAAATTTTTGGCTTAAATTAAATATTTCAGGGGGAATTGGCTTAGAATCATCAAACTTTATCAGTTGATGCATCTTGGGTCCTCGGAGTAGGTTGACTGAAAAGTAGGTCACTGTGACCTACTTTTAAAAATTTTAAATTAAATATTTGGGTACTAATTGGCTTAGAATCATCAAACTTTGTCAGTCGATATATCTTTGGTCCTCAGAGTACAACAACTGAAAAGTAGGTCACTGTGACCTACTTTTGAAAATTTATGGCTTTAATTAAATATTTCATGTACTAATTGGCTTGGAATCATTAAACTTTGTCAGTTGATGCATCTTGGGTGCTTGGAGTACAACATTTGAAAAGTAGGTCTCTTTGTCCTACTTATAAAATTTTATGGTTATAATTTTAAAAAAATATTTTAGGTAATAATTGGCTTAGAATCATCAAACTTAGTAGATGGGTCCTCAGAGAATGACACGTGATAAGTGGGTCATCATGACCAACTCTTAGGTACTAATTGGCTAAGAATCATCTTGGGTTCTCAGAGTGTGAATTGGAATTTCAAGGGTTTATCTAAATATACAGGTTACTTAGAGACTTCAAATAAAAGTGATAGGTTGTACAGTTTTTTTAGAAGAGCGATTCAAGGCCCTTGGGCCTCTTGTCATATATTTTTTTTTAAAACTCAATAGGGCAGTAGCTCGAAGACCAGATAAGGATATGCAATGACAGTGGTCAAAGACCACAAGAATTATGCGATGGTTAGATGTCCGTTTGCCTGTGAAGAATTTTTCCAATCACTCTTCTTAAGCATACTGCTAATAAGCTTGGTATATTTTGAACATATGGTAGAAATTTCTTCCTCTCTTTATGGAAAGCATATTTTCAATTTTACCTGTGTTAAACGGTAAAAAATAAAACAACAATTATATAAGGCTTCTTACAGTGACAAGAAGATTATTGAATTAAAATAACACACAATTTTGATTTACAATACCCACAACTTTTTTTTTTAGATCACCTGCGTCGCTTAGGTGATCTATTGCTGTTTTTGTCCGTCGTTATGTGTTGTTCATAGGTTGTAAACTTTTGAACATTTCAGCTTCTCTGGAATGGCTGAGCCAATTTCAATCATATTTGTTATCGTTATTTCAATCAAATTGACATTTCAAAACCAAAAATATAAACTACGTTGTCTGTACTCGCTGGGGACTGAGGGATGGGGGCAAAACCTTCAAAATTGGTGCAATCTTGAAAATCTTGTCTGAACATTTTTAGCTTCTTCTTTGGAATGGCTGAACCAATATCAGTTTTTTATAGCATTTTTGGACACTGGGAATGAGAAATAAAAGTGTGAAGTAAATGGTCTCTGTCTCCATGGGGTCTGAGGGATAGACCAGAACCATCAAAACTGATGCAATCTTAAAATTTTGTCCATTGTCATGTATCATGCTCAGTTGTAGAATTTTTAACATTTTTTAGCTTTTCTCTCTGGAATGGCTGAACCAATTTTAATCAATTTTGTTATTTAGAACATATGGGCAAAGGGAAACAAAAATGATAAATTACATGGTCACTGTCTCCCTGGGGCATGAGGGATGAGGCCAGAACCATCAACATTGATGCACTCTTCTTTACTACTGGATATTAAGCACTCAAACTGTGAGCAACGAACCCTATACCAATATTTTGAAATTCATGGCCTCAGGGTTCAGGCTCCAGGGTGGAGCGAAGTTAGTCATATATTGAAATATATTATACACTGTATCTTTTAAAATCTTTTTCTTTACTAATAGGCACCTATTAGGCAAATTCTTCGCATTACTAAAAGAGTAATCAACTTTTGACCGAAAATGTGAAATTCTTGGCCAATGGGTCCATGGGTCAGACTTTGTGATGGGGCTTCGGTGGTCGTATATTATAAAAATTACATACCATCTTTTACAGTTTTTTTTCCTGTAATTATGTATACTAAGTAGGCAAACT